GTTTAGGGTTTTAGGGTTAGGGTTTGGGTTGAGGGCTTCATGGCTGAGAGGGTTAATCCCCTCCCCGGGGGTTGGGGATTAAGGTTTAGAGGTTTAGGGTTTTAGGGGTTTGGGGGTTTAGGGCTCTAGGGTTTTAGGCCTTTAGGGGTTTAGGGTTTAAGGTCTAGGGTTTAGGGCTTAGATAATGTAACAACAGTAATAGCAGCTATCACTGCAGAGTAGTGCTAGTAATGAAGAATAGCAGGGACAGCATGTAACATGGGTTTAGGGACTGTAGGTGTTTTGTGTTCAGGGTCGCGTGATTTAGGGCCTTCCATAATTTCAGGGGCTTTAGGATTCTGGATGTGCGGGTAACCCTTTTTTCCTAAACCCCATGGGACTCAGGACTTGGGGCTTGGGATTCAGGATCTAAGTTTTCGCGGCGCTTGGCAGGCTGGGGCTTGGGATGTAGAAGTTTGTTTTTTGGTCTAGGGTTTAGTAGAAATTTGGGCCTTAGAGTTAAGAATTTAGAACTTAGCCTTTGGCATTTTGGATTTCACAATCGGACGATCCGGTGTAGTTGGGGTTCACCAGCATTAGGCTGTCAGACCTACGGGGGTGCCGGATTTCTTGTCAAGGTTTGGGGTTTAGGCTTCTTTGAAGCTCCACAGAAAGCCGAACAACAGGTTTCCAAGGATTAAACTCTAAACCTGAATAGTAGTTTCCATGTCATTTTGCATTATCCCTATATAACCGCTATCTAATCCATAGATAAAGGAGGAACGCGGGAATGGAGCATTCTGAGCACCGTGCAGGACGTTCAATCCAGAAAAGCTTCTTCTAGTACATTATGGTATAGTATAGGGGCTTTAGAGGGATAGTGGAAAGGAACATGGAAACTACTATAATGGGTTATATAGGGGTGATTTAGGGGTATATGGGGGTTATGTAGGAGTTACATGGGGGTATATGGCACAGGCATCATGAAAGACTTTGGAGAAGATTGTAGGGTGTCATCCCGACGCATGCTTGGACAATCACGTCAGCTGTCAACAATTGAAAGGTAGGATGTTCTAACCTGAAGCCCTAAACCTAAAAGGCGCACTACAGGCAGGATGCTTAGGATTTCGACGTTTGTGCTTAAGGTTTCAAGACTAATCACCTGCCCATCAAAACCCACAGCCCCCTTGCATCAAACATTCCAATTGTTGGCATATTTTGATCATTATGATGTATTGGGAATATCTATGATTAGGGGAGCGAGGGTTTTGAACATTACGCGCAGGGGGTTGCAGCAAATGAGTGACGATTTTTGATGGGTTCAACCTAGTGACATATTACTTATGCGAAAGACGCAACCCAAAAGGAGGATATGATCTTACTGTGTTTTGGGGCCGGTAGTATTATGATCATGCACACGAAACGTGGACTGTCGTGTCCCCAAATGCAACACTACTCAAATGGTGTTTGAGGGCCGGGGGCTTGCAGACTAGTGGCATGGTCAAAGCTCTGCAGGCGTTATGCAGTGTAATGACTGAAGAGGCATAAGGATATGACCGTGTATGGAATATGGAGATCTAGAAGCGGTTGCCAAAAGGCTGAGGCTTCTAGCACGGGTTCTTTTTCGAGAGGGTTCCAAAAAGCAAAGCAATACTACCTGTTTTCAGGACACCCTAGGACTAGGTGACTAATTCAGCTTAGGAAGAGGCAGCAACCCCTATCGCAGCCCTCACAAGTCATTTTTCAGTCCGCTGAGGCCAGCGAGTCTGGCTGGTCACCTGCACGACAAAGGCAAGCATCCTCCCTCAAGCAAGCGTGGAACCTCATATACATCTTTCGTAGCAAGCAAAGGCATTTGCGGCACCTTTGGGCTCCATGTTCGTTTGCTGAGCGTAGAAGTTGTTGGCGACTCAAGGAAATCTTGCTTGCAAAAAGCCCCCATCCAGGTACTACGACAAAAGTTGCCACTCTTCCGAATCACTGACGCCTTGACACTTAAAAAACTTCACTTTGAACCATGGGGCTTCATGTGTCTATGGGCTGAGTCGATAAGGAGGTCTTACTTCTCTGAAATGTGCCCGCTACTTGGAGTGTCATGGGGACTTGGTAAGTAGGTTACTAACTAACTCCTATAAGCCATATAATAGCCCGCAAGTATCCCCATTAGCACACTTACTAAGCCCCGATGACCCTCCAAGTATAGCTCTCCTGCGTGAATCCGATTGGCCTTCTCTTATGCTCCCTATAAAGCGCTTGAATTCTGCAAGATCCCAGTGTAAAACCTGTGTAACTCCTACCCTGCGCTCTTGGGGCACACCCTAAACTCTAAACCCCAAACCCTGCCCTCATCCCTAAACCGTAAACCAGTAGATCAATCGCCTTCCTGGCCGCTTGGCAGCAAGCCACGGATTTTTAGCATCCAAATCCGCAGGATGCTGGCCTACGAAGGGCAAAGACTGCATCGTAGGCTGTTTTGGGGGGTTTCACTACCTTTCCCTACTATAGGAGCCCCCTCAGCAAGAGGATGAGCGCAAGCCACTGGCCTGGTTTCTCCTGCATTTGACCTTAATGATTCCAGTTCTGTGCCAGGAGTGGAGCGCTATAGTCTAAACTCCCAGTATCCCCCTTAATAAGCCCTATAATACTCCCCTATATAACCCCTTTAAGGACTCTGGACTCTAGACTGTAGATCATATTATACTTCGCTAGCTTGCCTCCACAATGGGCCATGAGGTCCAAAGTCCGCTGCGACCGCTCCGGGGCCTTCGCCAGGCCTCCACACCGAAGCCCTGCGCGCTGCCGCACGGCCGCCAGGAAGGGTGAGGAGTCCGGCTCCTGGGAACCTACCTGCCAGGCCTTTTTGGCCTTTGCTCCTGGTGGCTTGACTGGCACAGTGCCATTGACAGTACTTGTCTCATTGGATGCGGGAGGCATGTCGCCTTCGTCGCAAAGAAGCTCTGCCACTATCTCGTTCCGCTGCAGTGCGGCTGCGTACCAAAGGAGGCCCCGGCCAGCTGTGTCAGTGGCGGACACATCCAAGCCTTACTGGTGGTTATCTCGTAGGGAATAAGGGAATATATTTTCTAGGGGTTATACGGGGGTTATAAACTCCTTTATTCCCTACTAAGTGCCACCAAGAAGCTTTGAGGCGGCGCGGTGAGAAGCTTGAACGTAGCCGTGTCGTCTGCTGAAAAGAGGGCACTTCTTCTCGCAGTGTCAGTTGCTGAGACCATGTCCACGGCATGGATCTGCCTTGGCTCTGCATTGTCCATGGATGATTCCATTTGACCCAATACATTCTTTTGAGGGTTTTGGGTTTAACCTAAACCCCAAAGGTAGGTAGAATAATCGCCTTTTGGACCACTATCTTACCTACCGGTGGGGTCTAGGAAGGGTTTAGGGCTTAGTGTAATAAGACAAGCTGCATCTGAGATAGGACCCACTCGGTGGCTGCACTGGCATTCACTCGCGGCTGCAAAGCTCCAGTACTGTTTGCCTCTCACTTAAAAAGAGCCCAGTCCTTATAGGGCTACAGTTGGAGTCCGCTTTCAGCTTACACTTAGGTCAACTTAGGTTGCCCTCTGGGCTATTTAGATAGCATCCGCAATCCTAAGCCCTACGTCCTTAACCCTGAACCATACTCCGGCCCAAGCAATTTATCACTTGCACCCGCCTCGCGGCCCTCGAGTGCTGAGGCCCGGCTGCCTGCCAAGATGGGTTATGGAACCTTAAAGGCCCCTTAATCTACCCTTAATTGGAGTCATTATAGGGAATCTTAGGATTTAATCTACCCTTGCTAGGGTTTCTAGGGGGAACTTAAAGTCCTGATCTGCCCTTGTTCATTGAGATCCTTACAATGATTTGGTGGGTCTACTGACCCACCCTAAACCCTAAACCCCCTAACCGCCACCCCCAAAAAAATCACTTTTTTAACGCAGGACTGAAAAAACTCCCTAAACCCTAAACTCCCTAAACCTTAAACCCTAAACCCCCCAAAACCCTAAACCATCTAAACCCTAAACCCCTCAAAACCCTAAACCCTAAACCCCCCAAAACCCTAAACCCCTAGCCTCCTCCAGCGGCATGGTGTAGGGCGCTGCGGCCTTCAGCGTCGCGGCAGTAGAGGCCTCCATGACCCTGGCTTCGCAGCACAGCCCGGGCCAGCTGGAGGTCCTGGCAGATGAGCTGATAAGAGTACTACCTGAACCCCCAAAATATGTAGAATAATTGCCTTTTGGGCTGTTTCTAAGGTTTTGGGCTATTATTTTACCTACTTTGGGGGTCCAGGTAATCATAACTAAGGGTTTAGGGTTTAAAGTAGTCATATATATGTATAGGGTTCAGGGTAGATGTAGGGTTTAGGGTACTTATAGGGTTTAGGGTTTGATACGGGGATTGTAGTATTTTGAGGTAGAATGATAACAGTACTAATCATAACCAAGGTTTTAGGGTTTCTGTAGAGTTTGGGGTTTAGGCTAGCTAACCATAGCAATGAAATACTGTAGATTGATAAAAGTAAAGGTTTCAAAAATAATAACAACAATAACCGCAATAGCAATAATAGTGTTTATGTAAATATAGGGAGCACAATGAAATGAATACCAATAAACTATAATAATGGACCGCAAACACTGCCGATGAGGATTTTTTGGTCCACTCCCAAGTTGACAATTCAAGGAAGTGCTTCAACTCAGATAAAGAAAAAGTCGCGAGGCCAACTCGGGTCGCAGGGATCGTCTGACAATGTAACAATTGGATCGCCATCATGTGCAGGGCCCATACAAGGGTTATCTTGATACAGGGCTGCAGGAGGAGAGAGAGAGAGAGAGAGAGAGAGAGAAAACAAACAAACAAACACACAAAAACGTACATCAAAAACAACACATGAAGACCCAAAGGAAAAATTGTCCTTTCGGCCCACTGCAGCGTGCAAGAGCGTACGCTGGTCAGAATGTCGCAAGCAGCCCAGGTCTCTGAGCACTTGAGGCGGGATATCCGCACTCTCTGCGTTGCCGGACAGTAACCTTACTGGTCCTGCTCTACACCCTAAAACCTTCAACCGTAAACACCCGAGGGCTCTGCATGAGATTGATAGCATCTTTACGAACCGACAGAGAAGACATTAGCCTTCCTTGACTCCCAGCAGGAAAGCCAAAGGACTACTCAATATATAAGAACGCGAACAGCAGTGAACCATGGCCACCATGCTAACTGTACAGTAGCAACAACCAAACTTCACCAAGCAAGATGGGGGAATGACGAAAGAACACCAGGAATAAATGTCCCGACGAGTGGCTGCCTTCGCAGCTCAGCCGTGGCAACAGCCACCAGCTTGTCAGCTGCAGTACAGACTTGCAAGTTGCCTAGCAAGCCCAGCTCACACGTTTACCCACCCTAAGGGTCCAAGTACCTGATAACCACATACTTGCCCAAAACCTGTACTATAATTACTATTACCCAAAACCCAAGTACCTAATTATTATGTACTTGGACCCTTTGGGCCACGTGCTTGCTGGCAATCGGTCCGCGAAATCTGACTATGCGAGCTCTTCTCGACATGCGGCTGAGGCACATTGATTTGCAGGGCTGTGAACTGCAAGCAGAAACATGGCCTGATGTCAGACAAACTGGGCCTTGCATCCTGACCCTGGCCTGTCACAGACATTTGTGGGCTAATTTCCCGTCGCTGAGCGCGTTGCCATGAGGTTGAGCGCCCCGACCTCAAAGGCCTGGTCTTGGTGCTGTCTGGGCCGACATCTGCACCAGTCTGGCCTGCAGTGAACTGGCACATGCAAGCACCAGGCGCAAGAGATTCTCAGAGTATATCTGACTCTTGAGTCTGCAGCACAAAACAGGTTGGATCCCCAAGGAACCCTTAGCGGCCCTCAGTATGATTGACCGCGGCACCCAACAGAGCCCAGCGCAGCTACTGGACTCCCAAACGCCCGCGCCAGCCGCCGTGCCGCCGTCTCACGCGACCCGTGGGCTGCCACCATGGCGTCAATGAAGCGCATCTCTGACAGAACAGCACCCGAGAGGCGCATGGCACCCATTCGCCGAAGCTCTTCGGTGGCCGCTCGCTGCAGCTGCGCTGCTGCTTCAACTGACAGGGGCCAAGCCGGCCGAAGGCTCGCAGGGGGCGCTGGCACGCGAAGGTAAACGTGGTAAGGCACGTCTCGGGACCAGGCGCCTGCCACATGAAGGCGGCGCAGAAACACCAAGCCGCCAGCGGGCACCGTGATCATGGCAGGCTTCTTTGCTGCCTTGCCCTCCTCGGGAGGCTCGCTTGGCACCGCCTCCTGGGCAGTTGCCCCACGGAGCTGCAGCTCGTCCAGGCTCCAAACGGTGCAACCCGGAACCAAATCCGCTTCCAGCTTGGCAATCAGAGGAGCCTGGGCAGGAGGAGCCGTGGGGCTGCACTTCGTGGCTCTAACTGCAATCAAGGTCCAAGAAACGGGAGGTCTTAAGTAAGGCTCACAACCACTGAGCTGAGGATGCCGCTAACTCTTTCGGACGATCCGCTGCGGCCGACCCGTCCTTGCGCTAATTTGCTGAGCACCAGCGGTCGCTACATGCCCATGCGTGCATCCTGTCTGCTCCACAGTCCTGTTCGAGGATGACCACTGTCGCCTGTGAGAGGTTTGTGCTGGTAGGAGCTTGAGGAAGCAGCGACACCTCCGCCCAGAGGTGGCTTCAGTCTCTTGGCAAAATGTTTTCTGCTGTACAAAGGTCGTTGCCACTGAGAACTGCGGGTGCTCAAAACTCAGGTTTCCGCAGACTTCCCCTTCCACTCCAAGACGCTCGGCTGAGTCCTGCAGATCAGACATTCTGGTAAAATCCTAGCAACAATTCACAGAACCTTTTAATGTCAGTGGCAAGAATAATCCTTTGCATAACTGCTGGTTTCGAAATGGTCTCGCAACCTATGAGTGTCCTGTCCTGGCAAAAGGATAGTAATCTATATAGCCCTCAAACAGAGCATATTTGGATTCATGGCCCATTTAAACCACCATCAGGTTCCATCAGGGTTGGGAGTCAGATAAGGTCGCTGTGACTTTTCCAGTCCTATTGTAACAGGATCGAGGACATCTGGTTGCGAGAGCCAGATCCTTCCCGCATCCACCTGCCGAAGCCACACATCATCAGCATTTTACTGTCCAAGCCACAGGACATTCGATCTTTAGGCTGTTACGGCACCGGCGCCGAACTACACCACTTTGCAAGCAATCTCTTTGGAGTACTGAGGGTGGCTTGGGGCACAGGTGGCAGCAGTACCTAGACCTAACCAATTACCAAATTATGGTCCTAGTGTTCCTGGTATACTTCTGGTATGGGTACCTCAAACTGACCTCAGAATTACAGTTGTAATATGATGTAATTATTGAGGCTTCTACAGTATCGCTTCCGCGCTCAGCCCCTGACCTTTCGCTGCATCACCCTCACACGTTGCGTCTTTGTCAACCTGAGGGGATTGCGATTCACCATAGGAAAAGATTTCCCCCTTCATCATAAGACCCCCCCCCCCCACCCCACCCACACACCCACCTCCCTAGCAATAAGTCCCCGCAACTTATTAGAAGGAACATGTATTGTGATGGGGGTGGGCGTAGACCCTTAGCCCCAAGGAGACAGCACTGTGAGTTCATCTTGCGAAAAAAGCCAGTCCAGGCGAGAGGACAGGCCCGGGTGTCATTATAGTCCCCCTTAAGTAGATAGAATATGGCTTTGGGTATATTGTAATAAGATCCCCATATACCCCATATTCTATCTAGTTAAGGGGCGCAGTCAATCTAAGGTTAGAAGTATGGGCGCCGAATATGGGCTCCACGACCTTTCAGGGGGATTCTGCGGTGCATGGTCCTAGACACCTTAAACGTGGGGGATTATGGTACTACAGTATATAAAGTCATGCAAGAATTTTCGTATCAACAGTAGGTACCCTGAGGGGTACACAGTAGATATCTAGTCATCCTGAGCTTGAGGGCCCATACCAGGGGCCAATGGTTTCAACCCTTGCATTAAAGGATGATAATACCATCCCCCAAAAGTACCCCTTACGGTGTAAGATACAAGGACCATATAAGGCTGAATCATGCCTGATATGATAGGATTCTAAAATGGGGGGGATCTTGGGGTGGATACTATTTCCCTTTTCCACTACTAGCGATAAGTAGGGGACTTTAGTTACCCTGACCCCTATCATAAGGACCCCCATGATACGGTCCTAATATTAGTGGGTGGGTAGCTAAAATCCCATTGCTAGATATGTCGAGGTTGCTTGCCACCTCGCCATGACTTGTTGTACGTGGAAGGGCAGAGCTTTCGGCATATGTGGCAGGTTCACTCATTGTTTTTACTGCCTTATGCCTCCTCGTGCGCTGCTTTTGACGGCAGGTCTAAATGTCCCTGCCGCGGCGGATCGGTAAAGAAAGCCGGAAGGGTGTGGCGCTTCCACGCTTTGTGAGGCAACTGCTTTCGGGTATGATGCGACCCTGAGGCCGAGGTGAAGGCACCAGCGGTCAAGGAGTGAAATTCTGTGGAGGGGCCCTCCCGTATAGAGGTGGGCTAGGCTTGGGTTATAATCAGGCCAAGTTTGGTTGTAGATTCCAGACACTATATGGGATTGACGGTGTGGGATTGGTTAGTGCAGTTCTGCAACTGGAACGGCTAACCTGAGTCGCCCATGGTGGCTCATGAAAACTGAGAACTCAGGCACTGAGGCCGACACCTAAACAAGCAACCCTTCAAGCTGAAAAAAATGCATGCATCTGGGAGTTTTGACATAAGGAAACCCCGCTTAGACCTCCAAATCATATAGCCCGCACTATGCGGAGCCCCGGAAAGGTACCCCTATCATACATCCTAGACGCTCTCCCTCTCTCCCACCCAAAACCCTTAACCCTAAACCATAAGGGCAACTGAACAGCGTGCCGTATGTCCGGCCATGTCCGGGGGCCAGACGAGTCCGGATCCATGCGCAAAAAGGAGATCCCTGACAGGATTCTATAGGGTCCATATAGGGATTATGTTGGGCTTATGTAGGGTTTTTATTCGGCTTATATTGGGTTTAAATAGGCTTTACATAGGGGTCATATTGGGCCTATATTGGGTTTATATAGGGGTCTAATATAGGGGTTATATTGGGGTTATAGGGCTTGAAACGTAGCGCATGGTGCTTTATGAACCGGTTATGGTGTCGATGGTGAGCCTGCCCGGGTACATTTGTAGAGGATCATGGAGGTCTTGTATGCGGTTCGCTTGTGGTGCATCTCCTGGTCGCTACCTCGAAACCCTCCCTGGACCCCCAAAGTAGGTAGAATAATAACCCAACACCCCTAGAAACAGCCCAAAGGCAATTATTCTACATACTTTGGGGTTTCAGGTACACCCCAAACTCTGTAGTTCAGGTCTTTCCCCTTGCAGCAGCAGACAATAAAAGTTCTAATCAGCCGCTCATATATGACCCCTTTTAAGGACAGTCGCTGTAAGCTCCGGCTCTCTGTTGGGTGGCGAAGCAGTAAGCCCATCTCCTCGGCCTAGCAAACCTCCAAATGGCCTTTAGAGCCCCTTGAGAAGATTCGTATATAGGGTCCTTATGAAACCAATCCCTGTAAACCTTAAACCCCCAAACCCCCTCATTTTTCGGAAAAATCCCGTTTCCTGATGTCCAACACTATGGCCTCCGGGTTTAGGGGTTTACGGCTTAAGGTGTAGGGGTAGTTTAATGTGTAGGTTTGTGTGCAGTTGTCTTGTGGGTTGGCGAGGAGAAACTACTGTGACCCAAGCATTGTCAAGCCATGCTGAATGTCATCACGATCGGGGGGCTTCCTAAGAGGACGGGGCACAATTTTAGGGGGGCTGGCATGCAGTGAGCCGAATCCATTCAGCAGCATGATGACTTTGGATTCGGCTTGCTCGCTGCAGCAATCTAGGCAGTGGTCAAGTAGGGAGACAACATGTACCTGGGGCTTCTCACCAACATCTCTTTTGGACTCAAAAAGGAATCCCTATCTAGTATTTTTGGCTTCTAATCTTTGATTTTCTCACGCGGCACTGAAGCCAGCCTCAGCCGGCGGAGCGCCAAAAGGGCCCTCGCATGTTGCAGGCCGTCCTTTAGGCAGCGTGGACGCAAGGTGCATGCCCAAGAGGGGTAGTTGTACATGGGCCTTCAGAATCCAGAACTTATCGCTCAAGTAGGGATCCATGAAGAATGAGGTAGGGAGAAGCAGATGAGCAAAATCTACAAAAAACGTTAGCTACACTAGGCCAGACCTAAAGGGCACTCCCCAACTAATTCCTGACCACCATGCATACATTGGAGTGCCTTAAGACTTGGGATGGCGGTGATTCATGGGTGCAGGGGGATTGCACAGGGATTATGTGGGGCGCCTACTAGGATTTTATTGGATGTCATCTGAAAACCATCTTGAGAGACACCCATGTTGCATAGAAGCTTCTACTCTCCACCACAAACACGGCAACCCCTGCCCAAACCCTAAACCCGGCGACTCCTATGTTCCTTGCGGGTCCTTCTCCACACCCACGGCATTGCCACCGAGGCCGAGCAAGAAGACCACCAAGGGCAACCGCCCTTCCCCGCTTCCTGCCAGGGCTGCTTTTGGTCTGCAGTTTAAGGTTATATACGGGATTATATATTACATAAGGTTTATGGTTTAGGGGTTAGCCCTAAATTGGTACACTTCTCGATTTGCGCCTAGATTGAGGAAATTGGGCTGCAGGACCGTCGACAACCACAAAATGCACATGCCCAGGATTGGTGCCAAATGATGTTTTGGCAAGTGCCATCTGCCGCGTGGCAACCTCGAAACAACAAGAGTAGATAGAATATGGGGTATATAGGGCCCTAAATCCTAAACCCTAAACCCTAAACTCCTTAAACCCTAAACCCTAAACCCTCAACTCAAGAGCCGGGCATTGTAACCGCACCTATAGGCAGCTTTGCAATCAGGATGAATGCCTACTGCCACAGAGCGTCATCCGTGGCAACTTTGTAGGTCTTACCAAAAGCCGGTGGGTGGTAGCCCAATATCCCTCAGGGTATAGTGCCCCTTAAGTAGATAGACTATGGGGTATATGGGGATCTTTTTATAACATACCCGAGGCCATATTCTATCTATTTAAGGGGGACTATGATGATCCCTGTTTCCAGCAACTCCCACCCCGTGCTCAAAATCATGCGCCCAACCCAGCCTAGGACTGAAATGCTGTCATCGCCAGCAAGCGGCACATTCAAAAGCGCGGTACCTGCACTCCGGGACTGGGCGAGGGGTTGTGTAGGATTCGCACGTTTACCATGCAGGACTTCTAGGATCGTGCATGCAGATGCCGGCTTGAGCCCCGACGCGTTGGCTGTCAGGCTTACAGTTTACGAAAGTTACACTTGGGTTCAAGGAACGTGCTCTATAACGCTCTGTACGAGCCTGCACTAGCTACTGAGAGTTTCAGAATCTCTGGGGTCCGCGGAAGATGAGAGGCCTTCCTGGAGTATGCCCTCGAACACCGAGGGAAACGGCAGCTGCGGCAATGGCGGAAGTTTGGTCAGGTCTGCCAAAGCAGCCGCCTGAAGACATGAGGCTTAGGCTTACCAATCGTTAATCGCCTGCTGCGAGTAGGAAATGCACCCCCCAAGCAACAAGCAACAAACTTTCCCCTGACGTTTAGCTTGGTGGTAGCAAGCATTATTTGTAGTTTATGGGGCAGGGAGGGTTTGACTGTGCGAGGCAGGGAAGTCAGAACACCAATTCAGGCAGACCAAACAAAGAGTCCATGGGGACAGATCCCTAATGTAGATCCCTTATCAATAAACCCCCCCCTCCCTCAATAGGGATTACAATAGGGATCCTAGTAATAAGGCCTTAACAGGAGAGGGGGTTTATTAATCATGGGTCTACATTATTGAGGATTCCAAGGGATGATTTCGAGAAACTCAAAAGCCTATGGACTCTTTAATGTATACATTGCCGCAGTAAGGGACATGCGGAAGGGTTGGCCTTTGTTTCCTAGCATAGGCCGAAGCGAATACCTCATAAGGAGATATAAGGAGCCGTCCTGGAGATCCCATACACCACCTCCACCCTAAACCCTACGTAAACAAACCCTAAACCCTAAACCTTAATCCTAAACCCTAAACTCAGAGGTTTTTTGTTAGGAGTGCGGAGGGGTTGGCGCAGGACATACAGGTCATGTCATGTCGCGTCGCATGACTCTGGCTGTTTTTTCAGTGCAGCCCGTTTATTATATTAGAGTACAGTATCTGAACGCACATTAGATATCATAATATATCCTGCGAACTGAACTACTAGACTCGAGTTAACCCCTATGAGCTCCTTAGCCTTCCGACGAACCCAAATATCTAGATACCTCTAAGCCTTAAGAGCAATAACCATCATCCCGTCTCCCGTCTTCCCTGATAGGAGAATGGGGTTGAAGGTTTGCGGTTTAGGGGTTAGGGTTCAGGGTCGAGGGGTGAATGACTCCTGCTCGTCATTTGGCGCGAAGAGCTTTTCCAGAAGGCAGACAAGCTTGTCAGTCTCAGCATTGCCTGAGACTTCTCTGCGTTGCTGCTAAGAAACTCAAATACAGATACGTACCACTATCAGGGAGGCATCTCATGTACTATCTGTCCATATAATGGTAACTTAATTAACATTCCTTGACAACTACCCAATTCATGATCAGCGACTTGAGAAGCTGGATCTGGGCGCTCATCAAACATGACAGGGCCTCTAAGCACAATCTTTAAGGCACCGCGTGGCAGGCACGACGACAGCACTCATTTTGGGCACCTAGCATTGCTATTCCTATTCTTACTATGGTTACTATTATTAGTATGGTTGCTATCATGCCTATTATTACTATCATGACAATTATTCTTATGATTGTTATTACTCCTATTGTTATGTATAGTATTTATCACTTTTAAGATTAATGCTACTTTTACTATGGCTAGCGGCTACCACGTAGGGGCCTCCTGTGCTGCTAGCTTTCAAGCTCCCAAGGAGTCTGGGAGTTTTGCTCCTTCCCCCGATCGCTCCTGGTGGCCATTGCGCCTGTTAAAAAACCTGCCAATGAGTTGTACAAAGCCATAACCCTTAGGGTCCATATACTTACCGCGAACTTGTACTATAATTGCTGTTAACCTAACTTCTAAGGGCCTTCATATTAGGATCCCTATTATGATCCCTAGAAAGGACGGGGTTCATAAACCATGGGTCTGGGTTAGGAAGACTCAAAGATGGGAACAAAGCTTCTAGAGGCCGCCAGGATTTAGTGCCGGTTGCCTTGGGAAGAAAAGCGATCCTCCCTGGACTTTTTGAGGCAGGCCATACAGTCAAAAAGAATACTGGAGGTCATGGGGCTTTAGTAAGTAGGTTACAAACCCTATAATCAAGCCATATAGTAACCCCAATTATCCCCATTTTTTTCTTTCCGGGGTCCCTAAGGTTGACATGTTGGCCCAAGGCCAATTCCCAAGTGCATCCGGAGGTGCAGCCCGCCGCGCGTGATGCCACATGCAGGGGCGTCTGCGCTTCTGCCGCCAGCTGGATAAAGTAGCCGACGAAGAGAGTCAGGATGTACAAAGCCATGGCAGTGATGTCAGGTGCGGAGTTTGGGAATGTACTTTATAATATATTATAGTACATGATCGTATATTATGGCAAATTATAGCATATGATGGTATATCATAGTATATTGTGGCATAATATAATATAAAATATTTTGTGATGTCCGGGTGGGGTAGGGATGGAGGCACATGGGGCATATGCAGACCCAAGCGGCGTCTAAAAGACTAGGCAAGCTGGGCGGCCGAAGCTGCGAACTTAGTATAGTCCCTCTTAAATAGATAAAATATGGGGTTTCATCCCCCTTAAGTAGATAGAAGAAGGGGTTTCGGGTTTAGGGATATTGTCCCCATGAAGTAGATAAAATGTGGGGTATATGATTGGGGTTATATAGGGATAATGGAAAAAGAACATGGAAACTACTATAGTATAATAGGGTATATACCGGGGTTATAGTCCCGCTTAAGTAGATAGAAGATGGCTTTGGGTATATATTATACTAAGATCCCCATGTACCCCACATTCTATCCGCTAACGGGGGACTATAAGTTCGTAGCCCCTCAGCACAAGGACACATGGTTTGTGAAGTGCACGATTGCACCAGTGATCTGTATGAATGCGACTGTGGTTTCTTGCAAGGGTGTCTTTGTATCTACAGTATCATTCTTTGGGGGTCCTCTTGCGGAGGCTGCCTGATCCATTGTAGCTCTGAAGCTGCTAATGGTTATGGTTGAACTTGAAGGAACAAGTTGCTGAGCTTCTTAAGCAAACAGTCTACACGTATCATGTACGAGGACTATAGTAACCCAAGAACATGAAGTGTACCTTACTTGTGCAGCTACTATGGAAACGATGCACGATGTCTCGTGCCGTCGCTCAGCCCCTACGTGCACATGCGACGGCAGGGGGCAGACAGCTGTGTTGTAGATCTGCTCTGCCCCCAGGCGCAGGCATGTCAGATCATGTTTCTATAAAGGCAAAGGGTATCTGAAAAGAATACTACGGAGAAAGAACAGTCTCCATTTGGAATAACAAGCAGTGTCCACATACGGAGGTGTCCATAAAATAGAGACCCCAAAATAATCCGTATAGCAATCCCTGTAATCGGCAACATCCACAACTTTTGGAAACCTCCACCCCTATAAACCGCTGCATGGTCCAGTTTGCATTTTCTTTTCCATTTGATTCGCCAATCTTGGGGCAATATCCCTAAGCTTTGTAAAATCCCTATATATCCCTATCAGATTATCTAACCTATATAAACCCTTATTTGCCATAATAAGTTCGACTCACAAGCAGCTGACATCGCCGGGAGCCCCACGGCCAAAAGCTTTGCCTGAGCTTCTGCATGACCTGACCATGCTTGAAGGTTCAGGGGGCTCAGTTCAAACCCCTCTACACCCTAAACCCTTACAGGGGACCTTTGGGGAAATGAGGGGCATTATAACGCTCAGGGTGGAAGGTTTGGAGTCTAGGGTTGATGGTTCATGGGACTTAGTAAATACTTATAGCCGGGCTTCTGAACCAACTTATATCTCCCTAACTATCAGTGCCAGTTATGTGGTTACTAAGTCTATGAACCTTCAGGTGGGGACATATGGAGGCCCAAAGTGGAGCTGCGGGATGAACATCTCCGACCAGGAGGATGATCTGGATTCAAAGCACTCCCCTGCGGTCCTAATGGTTTCTGATTTGGGTGGTCTCTTCCCAAAATTAGACTACCTTTTTCGGGTTCCATATAATAAGGATTATGGAGTTTGGGGATGTATATTGGGGTCCTAGTCCCATTATCTGGGGGCTAGGGGGTTTATTGTCTGGCGGCCGGCCCCCCAGGACCCTATGATGAAGTGGATAACTCGCGTGTGCTTCAAAAGCACTGTGCCCAACTGCGCAGCAGCCATGCTTAGCACATATGTGGGGCTTCTCAAAATGGGTGCCCTCAAGGAAGCAGGGAATATGTAGAGATTACGAGGGGAGTATGGGGTCCTCACTAGAGATGATCTATGGATGATTTTGAAAAACTTCCATGGCAACATCACGCTATCGTCGCGCACGGTTACATATATACGCCAGTCATAGCTCGCGCTTGCCCTCTTCGAGTTCACATTGAACAACTTCTCATGTGACATCGTATCACAGGCAAATCTATGCCTGGAGTGGTGAATCACAGCGCAGACTGTACGACAGTATTAGGCCTTGCGAGGCTCTTTGAATTCTGGCCAGACTAGAATAGGTCATACCTGGCGAGGACCCCCAACCCTGTAAGAGCCGTAATATCAATATAAGAGGACCTCAATATAGTTCCTATGATCCTTTATAGTCACCATTACACGGCGGGTGGTCCACTTTACATAATCTCCCTTTTTGGCTGCTGTTTGGGCAGCTGCACTGAGATTCAGGCTCTGATGCCTTGCTATCAAGTCCTGGCATTTAGCAGGGTTTAGGTTTTAGAGTGTAGGTACAGCCCAGAATTATGGGATCCCATACTACCCCCTCTTCTCTCCCTCCTACAAAACCCCGAATAACGTCTTGATTAGGGCCTTTTTAGACTGTATTCGGGGCAGGGGGGTGTAGTAATAGAATCCCATAGCAGAAATTTTGGGGTCTAGACCCGGCAAATGCAATCGGTTCTGCAACATTTGATCGCTTGTTTTGCGTCTGGATTCCGCAGGCTCTGCCAGACTGAAGGGCACCCCGTCTTCTAAAAGGACCACTCCGGGTTAGGGCAATTACTAGTACGGATCTGGTTGTTGGATCCGTAGGAGCTATGGCCCCCGTTATAACCCCTATAATGCTCCGCTTTCTAACCCCCTCTAAGGAGTTTCTCACTACAGTTCATATGCTCGCTCTGGATAAGCCTGCAACCCAGGCAGCATTCAAAAATTTGAAGTCCCGGCCCCGCAATGGCAAAAGCATTTCTTTGAAGGGTATAGAGTTTAAGGCATACGGTATAGGGTTTAGGGGTTTAGGACTTTGGTAACCCCAGCCACAGGAAACAGGACCCTATCATAATCATAGGATAGTGACAAGGTCTCATTTCGAGGGTTGGGATACCACGAACACCGTCATCTCCAGCACCCCTAAATAAATATCATAGCAACGTGCCCTTGCATCCTCCATGGATTTAGGGTTTTTTGGGGATTCTTGAGGGGGGCTTGGTCGGCACGCCATGTTGTACTGTCTCGATCTGGTTTTGCATCAAAAATGAAAATTCCAGCCACTACTTCGGCCAAATTGCCACTATAGACCTGATGTAGAGACATGTAAGGTTATGTCGGGATTATATAGGGTTCTGTAAGAATTATACCATACAGGCTTGTGTGTCGGGATTGTATAGGGTCAAGCGGGGATCATATATAGGGTTTAGCGGTGTAGGCATACTCGCCAATAACTAATGTTGAATTGGTAGTTTCTATCAATAGGGACCCCAACATAGACCCCAACATACTATTATGATCTTTGTTACTTGGACCTCCAGAATGGAGCCTCAATTTCTGGAAACTCCCAATTTGACAACGTGCCAAAACCCTAAAACCCTAAAACCCTAACCCCCAAACCCTAAGCCCCAAACCCTAAGCCCTACACCCTAAGCCCTAAACCCGCTAAGCCCTAAACGCCCTAAACCCTAAACCCCTAAACCCTGAACCCGGCAGCCGGTCCTCAGTGTCGATGGTTTCCCCCAGCCTGTCATCGAGGCAGCAGAGGCGTCCCAAGGTGGCACCTCGGATTATATAGAGCTATATAGGGATGATATAGGGAGTATATAGGGATTATATAAGGATTATATAGGGATGATACAGGGATCAAATAGGGCTGATATAGAGTTATATGGGGATTATATAGGGTTATATAGGGATTGTATATGGATTATATAGGGATTATATAGGGTTCTATAGGGTTACATAAGGATTACATAGGGTAATATAAGGATTATATACAGTTATATAGGGATTGTATAGGGTTATATAGGGATTGTATAGGGTTATATAGGGTTACATAAGGATTACATAGGGTAATATAAGGATTATATAGGGTTATATAGGGATTGTATAGGGTTATATAGGGATTATATAGGGTTATATAGGGTTACATAGGGTTTGTATAGGGTTAGGGTTATATAGGAATCATATAGGGTTATATAGGGATTAGATAG